CCAAAAATGTCAGCCTGCTGATGGCACTAGAGGTAAAGTAAGGGGGTCATCCTTATGTTGCCTGATGATGAGACTAAATTGCCATTTTGTTTTATGTATTCTGTTTTTTGTTTCGCCCTGTGCAATGCAAACAGTGTGATGTATCTGTTCTGCCAACTTTCAGTCCAGTCAATAGTTTTCTGATATTAATTTTTATGGATGCAGCAAGATGTTGCTATTTTTGTCTTTGGCACAGTAAAATGACGTCCCCAGTTTCCAACTGGCAGAAACAGACATCAGCGATCACAATACAAGACCTATTTGACAAAAATGGAAAATATGGGAGGGAGTTCTGAAAACGGCATGTATTACTGTGGGCAGACAGTGTCCCTGGTATGTTAATTGGTGTATTTAACACTTCTTAATTATTTGAAGAGTCAAAGTAAAATGTAACAAAGATGTAGAGGATGTGTAAAAATGTACCCATCATGCACTGTGTTCATAGATGTCCACAGAGATTTAGATCAAATGGGATGTGATCATGTCTTCATCACTGCCTGTCCTCCGTCTCTGTTGGTTACCCACGATGGCACTGCACTGTCTGCAGCAAGCTATTGTAAATTAAATGAAGTAATTAACCTAATTGTCTGAAATCTATGTCGCTATCAAGTTGCCACTCTATAAGAATAATCATTTGCATCTTGTCCACTTAATTGATTGGCGCACTGCATCCCAAACACAGAAGCCCTCTGCTCTTACATCTCTTAACAGTTTCTTTCTCATCACTTTAAAGAGCACATCATCTGAATTCTGTTTCATTTAAGATGGATGTCTCTTCACATAGCAAGCCTTCTGTTTTGTGTTTTCATCCCAGTGAGGTAGTGTTGACAATATGGTGTGATAAAACTCAAGCTCCCAAAGCTAAAGGAAACTATATTATTCAAAAGTCATTTTGTTCTGCAGATATTTCAAAGTGGAACTGAGGCTTTTCTCCTCTTTGTGTCCTGTGTGAAGGGCTCACTCTGGCCTATCTCCTGCTGGATCTCATCTGGTCTCTTGATGGGTTCTGGTCTAGTCACACTGCTTTCATCTCTGACGACGGCGGCTATCTGAATGTTGAAAAGCAAAAGCACTTTGTGCTGTTATAGTTGGCTGAGGAAATGTCAGCAGCAGCTGTGTGTGTGTGTTTTAACTATCAATGATATAAATAAATATAAGTTGCTCATGGAGCAAGCTGCATGTCAGCCCCTTTTGTGGCAAGAATGCATGTCTACTGAACGGCAAGAAGAAAGTGTTGTTGTGAAATCAAAGCTGGCAAAGTGCTTTTATTCCATTTTCTGTGTCAGTTACTATCACTAACTACCGGCTCTACTATGGGTGCCTCCCTCACCTTCCTGCCTTTAGAGGTGTTAGATTGCTTTGAAAATACAGTTTAAATGAATACCCCATTGGACATCAGCTATGCAAAAAAAAAAAAGGTCTCAATCTGTACAAACCATTAACATGTGTAGTATACGATAAACATGGCATCACCACTTCTCTCCACTATGCAAAATTAAAGCCAAAATATCGTGAATACGAAGGCTGCAATTGTGCTTTTTTGTAACTAGATTCTGCACACTTTTTATATCAAATAATAATTAAAAGCAAACTTGTTGAGGAGACTGAGGTCCTTTGGTGTGCGCGGAGTACTCCTTCAGACTTTTTATGATACTGTAGT